AAAGGGGGGGGGGATGACGAGATGGGGGGGTGATGATGGGTGGGGGGGTGATCGAGCTGGTAATCAAGGTAATCGTGTCTGAGATAGACTCTCTCACTACTCGTATCACATGTGGGACACAGGCGACGACAGGCGACAGGCGACGACGGCACACGGCACACGGCGACACGGCACACGGCACACGGCACACGGCACACGGCACACCCACCACACCCCCCACACCCCACACCCCACACCCACACCCCACACGACCACGGGCACGCACGCCTCCGCATATACCTGGACACCACCCATGTCCTCCCTTACCCCCACACCCACCCCGGCCGAGCCATCCGCCACCACCACCACCATGGCCGCCACCACCACCACGGCCGCCACCACCACCACGGCCGACATGGCCGACATGGCCGACACGGCCGACACGGCCGACACGGCTGACATGACCGACACGGGGAACGCAAACAACGCAGGCGATACAGGCGACACGGCGGCGGCGTCGGCGGCTCAGAGCGGACAGAGCGAGAGCGAGTCACGGGCACTGTGGTCATCGATCTGGTCGTTCTTCTCGGCATCGTCGCGCGAGCCGCCGCCGCCGCCGTCGTTCATGGCCACGGTGCTGAGCCTCAAGCCGACGGTGGAGGCGGTGCCCGAGGTGGCCGGCGGACGCGAGCCGTGGCTGAGATGCATGCAGGTCTCGCTGTGGGACAACGTGTGCGGGCCGCGGCTGCTGCATGTGTGGGAAGGAGCGGCGCCGCTGGACGAGAACGAGGGCAACTCGCTGGCGCAGCAGATTCTCAAGGACGAGATCTGTCGCGAGCTGGACGATGCGTCGCTGGAGCCCAAGTTCCACGTTCTCCCGGAGATGGACGCTGTGGTGGCGAGCGTGGTCTTTGCCGGGATGTTTGACGGCTCGCTCCAGCGGTTTGCCTTTTCGCTCGTGCTGAGCATGGAAGCGCTTGACCGCTTTCTTGTCCTGTATCAGGTGGTGACCTCGCGGATGCTGCACATGGTGGAGAAGCTTGTTGCGCTCCTCAAGCGGATGGCGAGCGAGGCGATGGCCATATTCTCGACGTTTGTCCCGCCGTTTGTGGCCACGCTCGCAGCGCTCTACTCCGCTGCGCTGCCTGAGGAGCTCTCGTTTGAAGCGTCGCTGTTTGGGGCGTCACACCTTGCGACCGAGTTTGACCACTCGTTCCTGGCGGCGTGCATCGGGGCGCACCTTCAGAACCACGGGTGCACGGTTGTGGCCGGGCCGGACGTGCAGACGGTCAACGCGTTTCTGGCCACGCTCGCGCTCTTCATTTCGCCGCAGGAGCGGCTCCGGGCGGCACTTGTCCGGCGTGGCGGCGATTGCGGTGAGCTGGGCACGGCGGGCTCGCACTATGTCCCGGACCTGTACCTGCAGGGCTTAGTGGTGGAGGCGGCCGGCGACGACGGTGCCGGGGCCGGGGCCGGGGCCGGAGGCGGAGCGAGCGGCGAAGGAAGTGAGGGCGATGGCGAGGGCTGGAGCGAGCCGGCGAGCATTGGATCGGCGGCCGGGCGAGCCGTGGCGCTCGACGACGAGGTCGTCATCCACTCGCTTCTGCCGACGACGCTCATTGACCTCGAGTCGCTTCGATTGTACCAGACTCACTCGTACAACGAGTACGCGGTGCTCCGCGACGAGTACATGGAGTCTGAACTCGCGCTTCTGTTTGGCATGGACGCGGAGAATCGCTGGTCTGCGTCTGACGGGCTGTTCAGGCCGATCAAAGAGGCGTCGGCACTGATTGAGGCGCTCGTGGTGGACGTGCTGCGGCTACCTGTTCCGCTACGCGCGGCGCGGATCGGCGAGGGGATGCGGACGCTGACACGGCGGGCGCTGCTGCTCATCAAGTGCGTGGAAGCCGAGCTAGAGGTGAGCGCTTCGCTCTCCAAGGATACGGTCAAGAAGCTGCGTGGCGATGTGGGCCTCGGGAGCAAGACAGACTTGGACGTTCTTCTCGGCGTTGCGGAGCGGTTCCGGCCTGGGACGTACAAGGATGTGCTGGGCGATCCTGCGTTTGTGGAGGACCAGCTGAAGCTGTTACTGGAGTCGTTTTTGTAACGAGGAGTTGACGCCACAATGATGCCGCGTCTGGCCGTCTCTTGCCGTCTCTCGAAATTTAAAGCTTGGCAGCAGAAGAGCATGTTGTTAGACGTGTCGACGTTGATGGAGGAGACGCTGTCTTTGGATGGAGCGGATGCGGCGTCGACCCGTGCCTGCGTGAAGGATGATGGTTTAAAGCTTGGAGGCAGAGACGACGCGGTCGGGGACGTACATGGCCTCCTCGACAAACTTGACGAGCTCGTCGTCAGACATGTCGACGTTGATGGAGGAGACGCCGTCCTCGACGGCGCGGCGGGCGACGGCGGCGCCGATGCGTGCAGAGATGGAGCGGATGGCGTCGATGGAGGGGTAGATGCGGCCGAGGGCGAGGTCGTCTTCGGTGACGCACTCTGCGAGTGCGACAACGGCGGCGTTGATCATGCCCTCGGTGACCTCTGAGGCGCGGGCGAGGACGGTGCCCATGCCGATGCCCGGGAAAACGTAGCAGTTGTTGCCCTGGCCCGGGGTGAGGGTGCGGCCGTCGGCGAGGGTGACGGGGTCAAAGGGCGAGCCCGAGGCGAAGAGGCATTCGCCGTTGGTGGCGGTGTAAGCGGTCTCTGCCGTGCACTCGGACTTGGACGTGGGGTTGGAGAGCGGGAAGATGAGCGGGCGGGCGCAGTTGGCGTGGACCGACTTGATAATCTCCGGGGTGAAGACACCGGCCTGCTTGGAGAGGCCGACAAGGGCGGTGGGCTTGACGAGGTCGATGACCTCCTGGAGGGTGGTGATGGGACCGTCAACGTCGGTGCGGGCGTAGGGGATCTTGTGGGAGGCCATGGGCTCGTTGAGGCCCTTGACGACGAGGCCGCGCGAGTCGATGAACCAGAAGCGGGCGCGGGCCTCCTCCTCAGTCAGACCCTCTGCGACCATAAGGGAGACGATGCGGTCGGCGACGCCGACGCCAGCGGAGCCAGCGCCGAGGAAGACGCAGCGGTGCTCGGAGATGGGGACGCCGAGGACGCGGGCGGCGACGACAAAGCCGGCGGCGATGACGGCGCCGGTGCCCTGGATGTCGTCATTGAAGCAGGGGAGCTGCGAGCGGTAGGTGTCGAGGAGGTCGAAGCAGTGGTCGTTGGAAAAGTCCTCAAACTGGACGAGAGCCTGGGGCCACTTGTCCTTGACGGCGGTGATGAACTCGTCCACAAGGGCGTAGTACTCGTCGCCCTGGACGCGGTTCTGGCGGAGGCCGATGTAGAGGGGATCAGCGAGGAGCTCCTCGCTGTCTGTGCCAAAGTCGAGGGTGATGGGGAGGGTCGAGGCCGGGTGGAAGCCACCGGCGGCAATGTAGAGGGAGAGCTTGCCGATGGGGATACCCATGCCGCCAGCACCGAGGTCACCGAGGCCGAGGATGCGGGAGCCATCGGTGACGACGATGATGTGGACGGGGAGGTTCCACGAGTCGAGGACCTCGCGCATGCGGCCCTTGTGCTCAGCGGTGATGAAGAGGCCCTGGGGACGGCCGCGGGTGATGGCCGAGAACTTCTGGCAGGCCTCGCCAACGGTCGGTGTGTACACGAGCGGCATGATCTCCTCGAGGTTGGCGAGGACGGTGGCGTAAAAGATGGACGACGAGGTAGCCGCGAGGTCGGAGAGGTAGATGTACTTTTGCAGCGGCGTCTCGTACGACCGCATCTGGGCGAGGGCCCGGGCGACCTCAGTCTCGAGGTTGGTCGCCGCCGCCGGGAGGAGTCCCTCGGTGGTGAGGGCAGCGCGGGAGGTAGCCGACGAGGCGAGGCCGTGGTACACATGCTGCGACGGCGCCCGGGTGTCGAGAGCCTCGGAAGGCATGTTGGAGTAAGAGACAGAGAACGGCGAAGTGGCGCTCATGGTGTGGGTAGGGAGAGGGGTGGCGGTCGTGGTGGAGGGGTGAGGCTGGTGGGATGGAGAGATGCCGCGACATTTTTTTGGACCATGTGCGGAGAAACGAGCCGATGCGGAGGGTGGGGACGGGTGGGGGGGGGGGGAGGGGGGGGTGATGGTGGATGGGATGGGGGGGGGGATGGGATGATGACACGTGGGGCGCGCGTGGATGTGGTCCAGGCAAGGTTTGGGGCTAGTAAGCTTAGTATGAGCTTGATCGGATGTGTCTTTGTAGTCTTTCAGCATGTGTGGTAGAAGCAGTACGTGGTGTGGTGTCTGAGCGATGTGAGCAGATGTGACACAAACAGAGTGTCCAATATGGGGATGATAATGAGGATGGCCGACAGAAACAAGGGAATGATCATTTGTTTTGCAAGATCGTTTTCCTGTGACGTTTGCTCAGTCAGGTTGATGTGAAGCTCCTAGGTGATGACGATGCCTACGATAGATATAGTAGAAAGCGGTAGGCGATACGCAAGCGTCCTACAACTTCCTATATATCCCTCCCCCCCCTCCTTCTCCAAAGGAAAGGCGTAAGCCATGTCACCGACACATGTACATCAGTCTCAGAGTGACGAGACTCGGCTGCAGCGAGCAAAGTCAGAGAGCTGCCTGCCAGGATCGGGGGCCTAACTAGCAACCAGGACACAAGCTAGGAGAGACCTAGTATGTGTGTGTGTTGGAGGGGGGGGGGGGGAGGGGCAGCCGCCCCACCTGGGTCAGCTTGGATCTGATTGCAGCAGATGCAGACAATGGCAACAATGATGATGCGTCTCCCCTGACCGACCTTCTGACCGATCGATCACTGTTTGATCGATCAACCTCCCGACGCCCTTCCCCCCACCCCCAGCACTTCCCCCCCCCCCCCCCCACTCCCACCCCCCCCATCCCTCTCCAGACGACAACAACAGAATGGAGTGGGTGGAGCAACTGGGACTGTCTTTGGCTTTGTCTCTGTCCGTGACTCTGTCTCTGCTGTGGACGCGCTGAACAAGCTTGCCGGGGCGAGCAGCACGCGTGTGACGGTGGTGGGGAGTGCAGGAGCGGAAGGACGACCTGTGCCAGAGCTTGTGACCAGCGAGAGCAGACTGCATGGGGTGCTTCTGCCGCTTCTTGGCGCGTGTGTGCGGATTGCCGAGCTTGAGGCCGAGTATGTGTCGTTCCGCGGGCTGATGGCCAAGCGGCGACCGCTGACGGTGCGGTTGAAGGAGGTGCGGAGCGAGGTTGCGGGCGTGGGCGAGGCGCTGGCGGTGTGGAGGGCGGAGCGGAGGCGAGAGGACGCCGAGGTGAGCGAGGCGCGCGAGGTTGTTTCCCTGGCCGAGTTGATTGCGAGCATGGTGGAGCTCCTGGAGATCCGGGCGGAGCTCGCCGGGTACTACCGGTATTTGGGCGAGTCGCAGGGCGGGTTTGACGGGGCGACGTGCGCGGCGCTGATGGGCGAGCTGAGCCGAGTGCTACAAGTCCGAATGACGAGCAAAGAGCTGGACCGGATGCGGTATCTGGTGGGTCTGGAAATTGCGAGCCTTGCGGCGATGGGCGAGGTGGCGGTGGCTGTGGGCGACGGGCAGTACTGCGCGGCAATGTCGCGGCTGTATGACGCGAATGTGGCGCTCTCCGATTGGACCGGGTTCGTGGCGTACGAAGGCTCGGCGCTTGCTGAAGAGGCCAGTCGGATAAGCGAACAGCTTGGGCGTGGCCGAGGCCGAGGGCGTGAAGGCCGGACGATGGTGGTGGTGGCTGCAGAGGCCCAGGAGGGCGGCAGCGGAAGTGATAGCGGCAGCGGCAGCAGCAGTCTACTGACGACGGCGGCGGCCGGGGCTGATCGGCAGGCTAAGGCACGTGCGCGTGCGCGTGCACGTGCAAAGGCAAAGGCAAAGGCAAAGGCAAAGGCCAAAGCCAAGGCCAAGGCCAAGGCCAAGGGAGGGCGAGGCAAGAGCCTCTTCTCGTGGCTGCGGAGCAGCGGCGGCGGAAGTGGCGGGGACGGGGCCGAGGCCAGCGAGCGTGGGCCGGAGGACTCGAGTGAGGCTGGGCGAAGCGGGAACGAGGGTGTACGGAGCGGAAGCGAGGACGCAGAGCAGGCACTGGTGCTGAAGCGTGTGTTCGGGCGCGGAGCGTCGGGCCTGTTCAAGTTTTGCTCGACGCTGCTCTCGCTGCTTGTGGCCAAGGCAACGCTGTACTTCTCCCGAGTGCTCATGTGGCAAGAGGCGCGGATGAGCAGCGGCGGAGGCTCGTCATTAGAGCAGATTCTGGACTACGACAGCGTGATTCGGCGATACCAGGCGCGGCTCGGGGCAGTGGCGATCGGAGTGGTGTTTGAAGGCGACGGTCTCGAGGTCGGATACGTGTGCGGCGGAAGCCGGAGCCGGAGTGGGAGCGAAAGCGGCGGGCTGACGACGGCGTACGGGGCGCCGAGTGTGGCGGCGTTCGAGAGAGTCAAGGGCTGCGTGGTGGAGGCTGTGACGAAGCAGGTGGGATGGCTGTGGAACGAGGCGTTGTACAAGAGCGTGTTTGTGGTGCAAGTCGAGGCCTTGTGGTGGGTAGCTGTGGTGGTGGAGGGGAGGCGGGGAAGGGCGATGGCGGGGTGGGCGAGTTTGTTGACGTGATGCAGAGGTGCATGGGGATGCGGGACGCGTTTGGGCGGCTGGTGTGAGTGCGTGGGCGAGCTGGGCTGCCGAGTAGGAGAGCCAGAGCTCCGAGATGCTGCGGATGGAAGAGGTCAGGACCAAGATCAAGCTCAACAGCACCCGACTCTAGTGCCAGCGCCAACGGTGGCAGCATGCGCGAGGCGTGGGCTGCCTGGCGCCTGACTGGCACCTACCCGACGAGCACCGAGCTGGGAGCTCGTCGCACTGTGGCGTGGGCGACTCGCGGCTGTCGACTGCCAAACCAACATGAATCAGGTAGCCAGCAGATGACAGGTGGTCAGCCGGAGCCAACTCATTCCCGGGCCGTGCTACATCTGCCCTGCCCGCCACGCGGCAAACTTTTTAAACGCAATGCACCACATCCACCATACCATATCCACATTCAGCAACCATACACATGGCGGCATACGCATAGCTGTCCATGCGAGTGCAACGAGGGTACGCCCGGAGGCAAAAAAAATACGCGATCCGGGAATTGAACCCGGGGCTCCAACAAGTTACAACCAGACGAACTGATTAATGGCAAGCTGAAATGTTGCCCCTACACCAATCGCGTTGAGAGAAGGGGCGAGAGCATAGTATTTGTAACATGCATCGGGTTACGATCCGTCGCTGTCGTCGGCCCGACTGTCCGTGCAAGGAAGAGGGGAGCCATGATTAGGCCATATGCACCCTATTTCTGTTTGTTGAGTGGTTTGTGCGATGCTAGCTACCACAGATCCCACCAAGAGGCTCCTTTGCGACCCTTGGACTGATGCTGGCTCACGCCTCATGTCCGCAATTATATGATGACAGCCGCAGACGTCGCAGAATTTGACTTTGTCACACGATCGCAACCTCCTTGCGTGACCACTACGTCGAGTAGATGGCGACATGGCGACATGGCGACATAGCGACGGGCCGACGTGCAGCCCCCGAAATGTCAGCTATCTGGTGCACGTTATAAATACTGTGTCGCGACTTCTATCCTCAACGCGATTGGTGTAGGGGCAACATTTCAGCTTGCCATTAATCAGTTCGTCTGGTTGTAACTTGTTGGAGCCCCGGGTTCAATTCCCGGATCGCGTATTTTTTTTTTGCCTCCGGGCGTACCCTCGTTGCACTCGCATGGACAGCTATGCGTATGCCGCCATGTGTATGGTTGCTGTGTGTGGATATGGTGGATGTGGTGGACGGGGCGAATGAAGCAAGGCCTGGGCTCTAATCGACACGAGGCGGCCAGAAGCATGCGCTCGCCGCCGTCGACTCACTTGTGTGGCATCTTGAGCGCGTACTTCCGCCGGCGACAGCATGGCTCATCGTCGAGGCATAGCCTGGCACGACCCAGCGCGGGGTAGTGCGTTTGTGCTGGAGCCTGACCCTGGCGTTCTGTGCTTTGATGTTGCTTGCGGCGTCGTGACGTTTGTGGCTTGCTCGGCTCCGGGTAGTACGTCATCAGCCTGTGTAGTGTCCTCGCGCCACAGACCTATCGTGTGCCACTGCGGGGTGTGCAAGCTGTAGCCTCATCGCTATCGCCGTTGGACCTGCTGTCCTTGCCACCTTCCTCGGCCGGAGCAAGCTGGTCCTTCGGCTCATCACCGCTGCGAAAGTCGAGCAGGTGGACAACGTCCTCGATGCTTCTGCCAGCGCGGGGCTGGTTGCGATGGTCCGCTACGCGGTGGCTGTGGGTAACCTCACCCCTATCCGTATCGTATTCAACTGCAACACCACTCTGTGAGTCTCCCATGGGTCACGCTGACCAGTTCGAGTTGTGTGGTCACGAATGACGGATCGCAATCCGACACATGCTACAAATACTATGATCTCGCCGCTCCTCTCAACGCGATTGGTGTAGGGGCAACATTTCAGCTTGCCATTAATCAGTTCGTCTGGTTGTAACTTGTTGGAGCCCCGGGTTCAATTCCCGGATCGCGTATTTTTTTTGCTTCCAGGCGCACCCTCGTTGCAGCGCACAGCTGTACATACTGCCTTGCATGGTTGCTGTATGTGGATATGTGGCAGCCATGACTCGCCCATGATGCGATGCCTGACGAGCTCCGAGTTGGTGGTCTGGGCCAGTGACCATCTGCAACATCAGAGTGCTGTGTTGGCCGTCGGCGCGCGCTCTGCCCGGCGATGGGTTCGGCCGAGCACATCACGCTGCTTGCGACATATGATACATCCGCACCTCAATGGCAGACACAATATACTCGGCCATCCCGTTCACACTTGCTATCAAAGTGCCGACAAGGGCACGGCCACTCACATCTCGATTCCGTTCCCCTGGGCTGACCCTCGTCCACTCCGCCAGCACGCACCCACCAGAGCGTTCTGGAGTTGACAGCCTGTCGATCAAAGCCTTTGAGCCTGGGTCTCGCTGCATCCGCACCATCCACCACATCGTGACCTCCTACACACGTCCACCAACCATGCAAGGCAGTATGTACAGCTGTGCGCTGCAACGAGGGTGCGCCTGGAAGCAAAAAAAATACGCGATCCGGGAATTGAACCCGGGGCTCCAACAAGTTACAACCAGACGAACTGATTAATGGCAAGCTGAAATGTTGCCCCTACACCAATCGCGTTGAGAGGAGCGGCGAGATCATAGTATTTGTAGCATGTGTCGGATTGCGATTTGTCGTGGAGGCGGAAAAAACCTCTTCCACACAACGCATACACAACATCATTCCACCCACACTACCCCCCCCCCCTTTCAGCCCCCTACACCACTCCCCCTCCCTTCCCTCCCATCTCCCCCCACCCCCCCCACACCAGCCATGCCCATGTCGTCAAAGCACGAGACCTCACTTGCACTGTCCGCTTCTCTCACCAGGTCGTGCGCCGGGCAGACCGAGTCGTGACCTCCTACACACGTCCACCAACCATGCAAGGCAGTATGTACAGCTGTGCGCTGCAACGAGGGTGCGCCCGGAGGCAAAAAAAAAATACGCGATCCGGGAATTGAACCCGGGGCTCCAACAAGTTACAACCAGACGAACTGATTAATGGCAAGCTGAAATGTTGCCCCTACACCAATCGCGTTGAGAGGAGCGGCGAGATGCCATGACTCCCACAACCTCGGGCATGGCCGCCGTCGCCTCGTGCTCCACAGGCGCGTTTGTTTACGAGTGCCCGGCCTCGGCTGGGGCCTGCACTGGCACCGCCCTCTGGGCGGCATCGCCTGCTCCATCGCCGGCTCCAGCCACTGACTCGCTGCTCGCCTCGTGGGACTCGATATCGTCCAAGGTCGTCGTCATTGGCTCTTTCAGGGACTTCTCACCATCGCCTCCCCTCCAAACCGTCAAGGCGAGCACCATCGCTCTTGCTCCGTCGCCACCCGGGCCGACCTGGACTCAGAACACCGGCACTGTGTCCCAGATATCGGGCTCGTTCGATCCGGCGTGGTGGGGCAACCCGCGGTCGATCAAGGCGTCGAACGGCAAGATGTATGCCGCGGGCTCCACTGCGGTGGCGTCGACAAAGACTGCGTCGCTTGCAAGGTGCGAGGCTGACGGCACGTCATGCGCCATCATCGATGTGTACGCTGTGGCGTCGCGGGCGGCCCGGGGAAAGACAGGCACCCGGGTGGGCCTCGTTGACGACGTCACCAACTCGCGGATCCTCGTGGTCGCCCTCGATGACGAATCGGGCGCCAGAGAGGTCGAGCTGTTCTCGGTCTCGTACGACCTGGCGACGGCGAAGCATTGGGCAGCCTGCGGCCTGTAGGGGTGACGCACACGGAATTTTCGGAGGTGACGCCGATCATCGATACGGGCAACAGCACGCTGTACGTGATGGTGAGCGGAGCGTCGGATCTGTATGTGTACCGGACGACGCTGACGGGAACGGTGATAGGCGTGGATGACGCGGTGGCCAAGGTCTCACCTGCACCGTCGCCTGCGATCCGGGTCGATTCCGCACGCGGACAGGTTGTGAACGGCAAGCTTGTGATGGTGACGGTCGATGATACAATTAACAAGCCTGGAGTGTTTGTGTGTGAGCTCGACGTGAGCAGTTGCACGTACGACGCGTACACGGGAAGCGAGACCGTGTCATCGTCGGCCAGGAAGACCGAAGTTGTGTTTGATGTGGCGAGTCTGACGATCCACGCGTTTGCGGCTGCGGGCTCGGGGCCGGCGCTGCATCGGTACGCGATCACAGGTGCGATTCCGCCGCCTCCGCCGTCGCCGCCTCCTCCGTCGCCGCCTCCGTCACCACCGTTGCCTCAGCCCTCGCTTCCGCTCCTCATCCCTACCCCCAACACCTTCCAGGCCACCTCGCCGCTCGCCGGCGGCATCCAGATCGACATCCCTGTCTCGGGCCTGTCACACCTGTCCGCCATCGTCATCAAGCTCAACACCACGGACGGCGCCCTCTACATCAACACCACAATCACATCGCCCGACACTATTTCCTTCCTCACGCCCGCCATTCCGCCTCGCTCCTCCTCAGTCTACCTCGTGTTCTCTGTCGATGGAGCGATTGTCGCCGAGTCCGACGTCCCGCTGCACCTGTACTATTTTGCCGGGCCACCAGCCTGCATTGCGCGCGGCACCGTCTGGCTCCGTGACGCATGCCAGCCATGCGTCCCGGGTGCGTTCTGCCCTGGCGGCGATCGTATGTGGCCGCTCGCCGGTCGATGGTCGCACTCGGAGACCGAGCCGCCACTGGCCTGCGACATGCCGCACGCCTGTGTCGGCGCTCTTGGCGCCGTCAGCGATTATCCACCGGCCTGGCACGCTCATGGCGCGCGGATGACTGATCGATGTCGACATGGATACACCGGGCGCGGTTGCAGCAACTGCCCGTCCGGCTTTTACTCGGCCTTTGGCGTCTGCCGCTCGTGCGGCGTCGAGTCGGCTGACCGCATCGAGTTTGTGGCTCTCAGTGCTGTCGCCATCCTCCTTCTCCTCATCCTTGTCGTTGCTGTCACTGGGCTCTCGACGCCGAACCTAGTCAAGTCCGTCTCGACCATCATCACCCTTCAGACGCTCATCATGGTCTTGCGTGTCGGTATTCGATACTCTTTTGGCACAGCCAGCTGGGTCCTCACTCTCTCGCGCATCCTCTCGGTCCTCCTGCTGGAGATTGAGTTTGTCAAGCCCGGCTGCACCGTCGGCCGCATCGCCTTTCTCGATCTCTACTGGATCACGATGGGCCTCCTGCTGGTGACGCTCTTCCTCTTCTTTGTCGGCGTCTACTTGCGCGAGTACCGGCGCTGGTTCCTGCCTGCCGCCATTGAGCCGGCCAAGCCGAGCGAGAGCTTGGAAGTGGACCACCGTCCCACGGCGCGGATCATGTTTGGCAAGCGCGACACACGCGTTCATCATCCTCTGCTCCATCGCGTACATCCAGCTCTCGGTCCGCACCTTTCAGGCCATGTACTGTCGCACGGATCCCGCCAAGCGCGGCGAGTACTTTTTGGTGGTCGAGCCAGGAACGCGTTGCTTTGCCGGCGCACATCTAACGGCGCTGCCGTTCTTGGTAGTCATTGGTGCCGGCTACCTCATCGGCGACGATCCGCTCCCTCCGCTCTCATCCGACTCGTACGAGCGAGTGGCATCGGCATCGACGCTCTCGCTCCAGTCGTTTTCGGACAAGTACGGCTTTCTCTTCCGCGGTGTCAAGGACGGTTACTACTGGCTGCGGCCAATCCAGTTCTTCACCTCGCTTGTCTTTGCCGCCGAGTCGGTCTTTCTCGACGATCCCGACGTCAAGATCTTCTCGGCAGGCACCAACTTCATCGTCAATTTTGCGCTCGTTGGCATCTTCTTGCCCTTTGTCCAGTCATGGCAGAACGGCGTGGCCCTGGCCTCGGGCGTCGCTGCTTACGGTCAGATCCTTTTGTTCCTCTACACCTTTGACAACAGGCTGTGGTTCTGGCTGGCCTGCGGCCTCCAGGCCACTTCACTACTTTGCGTCGCCATCTACAACGCCATCCGCTACCGCCAGAACATTCAGCTGGCAGGCCTGATGGTGGCCAGCGTCTGTGCGTCCGCCTCGTCCTCGATCCGTCACCGCATCGACAACATGAGGACCCATCTGCTCGCCGAACGCCGCAAGGCCGTTCTCGCCAACCGTGCCGAGCTCCTTCTCAACAACCAGTATCGCACCTCTTTGATCAAGGTCACTTCCAATTTGCAGCTGGTCCTCGGCGACGATCCGCTCCCTCCGCTCTCATCCGACTCGGCAGTCCATTTGGAGGCGGCCGTGGTGGCCCTTGTGGCCACACAAGCGCTGGCTGGCGGCAAATCGTCGTCGGCGTCGGCAACCCTCGACTTGGCGTCGTCGGCCCTCGAGTCGGCATCGTCGGCCCTCGAGTCGGCATCTTCGGCCTCGACCTCGACCTCGACCCCGACCTCGACCTCGACCTCGACCTCGACCCCGACGTCGACGTCGACCCCGACCTCAACCTCGGCTTTGATATCTGCCTCCGCTCTCAAAATGGACGTGTCGTCGGAAGAGACGGCCTCTACTGTGCACGACGCTCTGACGTTCTCGGTCTCACGATTGGGCCTTCCGCAGGTCGTAGCTAGCCAGGCGCGTCGCACAGTGGCGGCCGCGGGTATCAAGACGCTGGCCGCGCTCTCACAGTGGTCGCGGCACGAGCTCCAGGAGATCGGCATCAAGGGCGAGCTTGCGCGCCAGCTCGAGGACGATGGCTTTGCTACGCCAGTCGTGACGGAGACTTACTCTCCAGCAGCTTGGGCCGACCTGCCGTCGCACGAGGTCGCCGCCATCGAGCAGGCCGACAAGGAGCGACGCAACAGACTGCTCCTCGGCGTACGTCGCTATCAGCGCAAAAAGGCAACTCAAGCCGCTCGCTACGCGCATCGAGCCAACCGCAAGAACGGAAAGTATCGTCGGGCGGCGAGTATGCCCATCGGTGTGTCGCCCCCACCCGCCCGCGATCGTTAACGTCGCCGAAGAACCGTGAGCCGAGACAGGTGTCGCGGTAGAATGAGCAATCGAGCTGCGAGTGGCGTAGATTGAACGCATGGGCTCATGCAGGAGCTGAACGGCGAGCAGAGTGCTTCGATCGACGTCGCCGAGCCGTCGTCGTGACGCTTACCCGTAAACGTGCTGCACCTCATCGCCTCCCACCCACCACAACCCGCCATCTTCCACTTGATCCATCGCCGCCCACTCCCCCACCTTCCTCGGCACGGCCGATCACTGCTTCCGCCACCGCGTCCAGCTCGGCCCGCTCAGCCTCGACCTCGTCCAGCGTCGCCCGCAACGAGTTGGCGGCCGACTGCAGGGCGATGGCTACGCTCACCCGGTGCTTCCACAGCGTGTGGGTGGCGGCTGAGACGTGCGAGACGACCGCCTCGGTGGCCGCCATCTCGCCTCGCCCGTAAGCCTCGACCATGGCTGCGCCGTCGCGAAGGAGCTCCACCGCCCGCGGTCCGGTCTCGGACTCGATGTCCTCATCATCATCGTCGTCGCTGCATCTGCCGCCTTGATCGACGGCGACGACCATCCACCCACCTGGCGGTGGTGACCGATGGCTGGTGGCCGGCATCGCAGCCTGCGCGGCAGCGACCACCGTCGGCGCCACTGCGCCCATCGTCGCCTGATGCCGGACGACCATGTCGCAAACGGCATCGAGCTCGGCGCTATCAACGGCGACAAAGCCCGACGCGGCGCGCATGCGCTTGCGGAGCGAGTGCACCGATGCCGAGTTCTTGGCCCTCACGAGGGCGTCTCCGGCACGGACGATGGCCCGCGCGCCCTCATCGATGAATGACTGCATGAGTGAGAGCGGGTTGCTTGCCTCGTACACATAGTTGGAGGCGGCCACGCCCGAGACCCGCTCTCCGCCGGACGCCACCGACGAGAGTTCCGAGAGCGAGGTGCCGCCTTCATCGTCGCCAGCCCTCGCCACGTTAACCCGGCCTACCATCGCCCGCAGCACCTTGCCCACCACTTCCATGTTTCCAGCCGCCACCTCCAGCCCGTACTCGTTCGGCCCGTCGACCACCCGCGCGGCGACAAGCTCGACGAGCAGCCGGCCGGCGACTCCCACGCCGTCCTCGCCACGCGCTGCGGCCTCGCCCGCCAGCCACTTGAGGAGGGTGGCGAGGAACGGTGGAAGCTGCCCCACGCCCTCGCTCCCGACCGCCGCGTTGAGCACCCTCACCACCGCGTCTTCGATGGCCATGATCTGCTGTCGCAGCGGGAGTGTCCGCGACTGAGAGCTCAGCAGCCGGCCACTCGCTGCTGCCCGCAGCGGAGCCGCTGGGTCGAGCTGCAGCCGAGGCGCCGAGCTCGACCCGACCTCGGCGATGGCTTCGCCGAGGGCCTGGTGGACATACGCGACGACGGCCTTGCGCTGGCAGTAGCCGACGAGCAGCCGGGCTGCAAAGCCGCCGGCCCGCACCATCTCGCTCACCGGACACTCGGCGCTCCGCACGGCGGCGGTGATGAGCTCGAACAGGCTCCGTTCGTCGACAGACATGCTTGCAAAGCAGCCGTGGACCACAAACGCCGCCAACAATCCCTGCTCGTGCGGGAGCAGCGCCCGCCCGAGCGCCGCCACCGCCACAGGCGCGCGCTGAAGTGCACCAACGAGCGCACCGGCCCGCCCGCCGCTCGCGTCGGCAATGAGCTCGCGGCCGGACATGGCGGCCTCGACCGCTGCTCGCGTGGCGTGCGCGGCGCAGTTGGCAAGCGCTACCTGGTTTTCGAGCTCGCAGACCTCGCCAAGCGTGACGGCTGTCTGCGGTGGGGTGAACCACCCGAGGATGCCCTCCAGCCGCCCGATGGTGGCAGCGAGCACCTCAGCCGCCACTGGTCGCTCGGCAAAGGCTGCACGAGCGGCAGTGGCGGCGGCGTCGGCCTTGTCGGCACGTGGCCGCGCCGCAGCGGCGTCGGCATGCTCAACGTGCCGCTCGACCCACTGTGCGACGATGCGGACCACCACTTTGGAGAGCAGCGGGTTGGACGTCGGCCGCGGCGGGACGTAGACGATGGCGCCGAAACCGGCGGCGCCGCCGACGCCAAACAGCGGCGACGCGAGTGCCTCCACCAGCGCCTCTTCGGGCGAGGTCGCTGCAAACCGGAGCGTCTGCTCCTGGGTCACGTTATACGGCGGGACGACGAGGATGGGCCCGGCGGCGAGCTCGTCGACGTACGACGGGCGCGGCGAGAAGGCCGAGCTGTTGGCGGCACGGGCGTCGAGCGGCGGTGGCGCGTCACGGAGGAGAAGGAAGAGCTCGGTGGGCCAGGCCGTCGGCCCGGCTCCGCACGCCTCGCGGAGCAGCCGGACCTCTTCGGCCAGGGCCGAGCCGAGGGTCTCCCAGGTCACGGGCTCGCTAGCACCGCGGGCAGCGCGCTTGGCCCGCAGCGCCAGCGCCGCCATCAGCGACGGCGACCGCCACGCGGCGGCGACGGCGACTGCCAGCCCGGGCTCGCCTGGCCGTCTCGGATTGGCCACCCACCGCAGGCAGAGGCCAAAGCCGAGCTCCGGCCGCGGCTCCTCGCCGTCCTGCTGCGGCGCCTCGGTCAGGGTGAGGAGCTCGACATCGCAGATGGCAGCCACAACGGCATCAACAGTCCAGCCTGAGCCTGGACGGAAGGCAAGCGTGGTCGCCGCTGCGGCGTGGTAGTCGGCAGGCACCTCGACCGGCTGTGCCTCGGCCAGCAGGCCCAGCAGCCCGTCGTCCATCTCGCCTGTCCACCGCGTCGCCTCGCCACACGCCGCCCGGAATGTCTCCACCCCGCACACAATACGCTGCCGGATGCTCGCCAGCTCGGCGCGGCTGCTTGCCCACGCATGCCGCCCGGCAGCAGGCGCGCCCATCCACGCCCCGCCGCTGTTCGCCACCTGCGCGCTGTTGCCCGCCACCGCCTGCGCCACCCCCGCCTTGTCCGGCACCGCCTGCGCCATCCCCGCTTTGTCCGCCACCGCCTGCGCCACCCCCGCCTTGCCCGCCACCGCCTGCGCCACCCCCGCCTTGCCCGCCACCGCCACCGCATCACGCGAACCGATGCCATCTGCCATTTCAAGCGAATTTTGCTGCAATTCGGCAGTGCCCGAGCGAGTGGCCATGCCCTGCGGAGCGACAGCCTTGCCATACCCCTGCCCTGTCTCCGTCCAGGCCCTCCCCTGCGCCATGCCCGGGAAGGTCGGCAGGGTGGTCGAGGGGGACGAGGGGGTGGTCGGCCGAGGGCGCCACGACAGCTCGCCGGTGGCTGAGGCGTAAAAGGGCAGGTATGGCGGGCGTAAGCGAGTAGCCCGTGTCCACGACATACAGAGGGGTGAGGGGTGGGGTGGTGGAGGTGGGGCGAGTGGTGGTGGTGGTGGTGGTGGTGGTGGTGGGGGTGGGGGGGGGTGGTGGGCGGGGTGACCTGGGCCGTTTGGCGGGATCGGCGACACAGCGGCCAGACGGTGATACGGTGATACGGTGATACGGTGATACGGTGATACGGTGATACGGTGATACGGTGATACGGTGATACGGTGATACGGTGATACGGTGATGATACGGTGATACGGTGATACGGTGATACGGTGATACGGTGATACGGTGATACGGTGATACGGTGATACGGTGATACGGTGATACGGTGATACGGTGATACGACGATACGGTGATACGGTGATACGACGATACGGTGATACGGATACGGCAACACAACAATACGGCGAGACGGGGGGGGGGGGGGGATGGTGGGCGGTCTGATGCCGATTGGTCCATGGAGACATGGGTGTGTGCCCCTGTCCCGGCAGAACCCCAAACCCCCCGCCCCGATCAGCACGTACACCTCTCTTCGCCGCCCCTCTCCCACCATGTCTGGCGCCTCGCTCGCGGACAAGATCCGACAGGCGTACTACGATGGCAGCGCGACGCCCAAGCCGAGCGAGAAGGAGCTGGACGAGGCCATGTCGTTCTTCATGGCTGCCAGCAGCGGGCTGGACAAGGGCCGGGGCAAGGCCAAGCGGCATTACTACGCCACGGTCATCGACGTCTGCGGCGGTCACGGCATGCTCGGCATGCTCTTTGTCCTCTACGCCCGTGCCTCTTCCGCCATCATCCTCGATCGCAAGCTCCCGCTATCCTTTGCTGCCATGGCCTCCAACTGGGGTCTCTCCGCCGACATCCCCGCGACGACGACGACGACGACGACGACGACGCCAACGCCAACAACGCCAACAACGCCAACGACCCCAACCCCAACCGCAAGCCCAAGCCCAAGCCCAAGCCCAAGCCCAATCACCTCAGCCCCAGCCCCCGCCACCCTTCGCTTCGTCATCACCGACGTCCGCGACGGCCTCGAGAGCACCCTCGCCGACGCGGCACGCTCCGCCACCACCGCCACCACTCCCTCCTCGCCTCGCGTGCTGGTGGTCGGCTGTCACGCGTGCGGCTATCTCACCGACTACGTGCTCGACATGGCGACGGCGGCAGGGATGGACGTGGCCATTGCGCCCTGCTGCCACTCCAAGGGCACCTCGCACGCCGACAGCCACCGGGTGGTGGCCACCGACTCGGCGGCTGCCCATCGCCTCCTCGGCACACGCATCCATCATGCTGCCACTGCTACGGGCATCGACTTTCCGTCGCCCTCGACATGGCTCGCATGGGCCGCCTCGCTGCTCTCCCGGGCTACGACGTCCTCCTCCGCACTATGGACCCGTCCATCACCCCGCAGAATCGCATCCTCATCGCCAAGGCCTCCCCTCCCCCCGCAAAGTGATCGCAACATGCTCAGGCACTCCCCTTTACCTCCCCATCTTTGGCCGCGTCACCCGCACATTAGGCGTCCCATCGCTGCCGCTCTGCTCGACGCCGGCAATCTCAAAGCTGACTGCCACCGCAGTGGTGATGAGTGCGTGCGCCACGCTCTCAACCACCGCTGTTCGGACCCGGCTGACCACGCTATCGCCCATGGCCTCGCCGCCTGCTGGCGAAATCGTCACCGCAACCGTGACCGGCGACATCACGCCCGCAGCCTCAGACGCCGGCTTGGCTCCGAGCACAAACGCCAAGTCGTCGTCCAGCAGCAGCTGCACCTCCACCCCACCCACCGCAAGCGACTCGGCCTCCACCGCGATCGCCACCGCGTCGGCGTAGAGCCCCGCAAGCCCGGTGAGCGCCAGATCCATGTCGCTCGCCCGGTCCACCGGCGCCACCACTCCCATGAGCTCCTCCATCTCGCGCCACGACCCGACGCGGAACGATGTTTGGCGCATGCCTGGGCTCGATTGCCCGTAGATCCGGTAGCTGCCGATCTCCACCACGCTCCGCCCCATGATGCCCTCGTACACCGCCCGCGCCCGCGCCCGCGTATCCACGCCCTCAGCCATCCGCACTGCACTGCCGTCTTGCACCCCAGACGCCGCAAGCGCCACCAACGGCGGCGAGAGTGCTGTCACCTCGGCGCTCTCGCCCATGCTCATCGCATCGGGCGAGCTAAGCGCAGGTGGATGCGTGCTCATTGCAAGCGGGCCGACTGCAACATGGACCGTAGCAGTCAGTGCATGCTCCAGCAACCGCACCACGCTGCTCCGCCGGAGGCTCTCCTCGAGCTGCACCGCAGGCGTGTTGGCGATAAACGCCGACGCCAACTTGAACACCACAGGCGACGCTGCCTCGCCAACCTCTGACCCCCGCGGCGTCCGTACCGTCGCGCTTCCGCGCGGCGTCATCGACACGCCGGCGGTATCGCTCCGCCGCACGCTCCGCCGCTGCCGTCGTGTCTCGGCCGTACTGCTCATGCCTTGGGCTGCGTGGTCTTCCTCCTCGCTCTCGTTTCCGCGCTGATCGGTGAGCATCGTCCGCGCCACATCGCTTCCGAGGTAGAGCGCCAGCGGCGCCGCACACGTCGCTAGAGTCTTGCATGCCACAAGGTCACCGCCCGCCAGCGCCGCCGTCACCGACAGCGAGCTCGTCACCGACGCCGCCAGCCCTCCGAGGAGTATCTCTATCGGAGCTGCAACATTGCCCGCCCAGCAAACTTCGTCCGTCCGCTGCAGAATCCGACTCACCTCAGGCCATCCGGCCATCTCCAGCTCGTGCTCCTCGCTCCGCTCACGCCCGTCCCATGTGCCGCCAGCAACAAGCCCGCTCGTCCGCTGGGCAGCGCCAACTCGGACCCGGGCCTTGGCCGAGAATCGCGGCAGCTCGCCCGCCGCACGACCCGCCTCGCGCACTGCATCACGGAGCCGCGGCAGGGCAAACGGGTCCACAATCGCTCCGCCGCCGGACTTTGCCGCGTTCTCGCCTCCGGCCATCGCCTGCCGCAGGACTTTCATCCGCTTTTCGTCACCGTTGCCGTCACAAATACGGTTGTACGACGACGTCCGCCGCGGCCGCCGCTTGCTCTTGCCTGCCATCGTTCCTGTCTTGCTTGACGACCGCGATGGCGAGCACGACGGAGACCGTGACCGCGACTGAGACGGCGACGACGTCCGCGATGGTGACGGTGACTGCGACCGCGACGACGTTCCCCTGCTTCCGCTTGAGGTTGTGGCTTTGGACTTGCCCTTGCCCTTGCCCTTGCCCTTGGCCTTGGTCTTGCTCCTGCCACGCGGAGGTATGGCATGTAGACTCACCCCGGAAACTCCAGTCTCGACCTTGGCTTGTCGCTCCTGGCGTGTCCCGGGCGCAAACTTGACTGTCCGCACCGGGCCACTGTCGACGATGTTGGCGTGCCCACAGTCGTCCGAGACTGAAAGCAGACAATCGACCGAGTTCTTGCCCACTGAATCAACTCGAGTCGTTGGATGCGTTGCCATCGACGATGGCGTGGTCTCGTTGAGTGCCCACGGCTGCGCGTTTCCCTCGGAAGGCGACGATACCGATACACTGGAGTACGACGAGTACGACGATGAGAACGTCAGACTTGACGAGGTTGACGAGGTGTACAACGAGTACGACTCGCTCGACAGTGCAGCTTTCTTGACTAGCTTCTTCCACTTTTTGCGGTCGCGCTTTTCAAGTGCTGCCAGCCTGCGCTTGAGCTTGCGCTTGCGCTTGAGTTTGCGCTTAAGCTTAAGCTTCCGCGCTCGCGACAGCTCCTCGGCCACAGCCAGCTCGGCTGCCGACCTAGAATCGTATCCGCCAGTTGAGACCAGCGCCTGCGCCTTGGCCTTGACATGCGCTTGCCGCGCCTTCTTCTTGGCCCGCTGCTGCCTGGCCCGCTTCTTGGCCCGCTTCTTAGCCCGCGCCTTGGCTTTGGCTTTGGCTTTGGCCTTGGCCTTGGCCTTGGCCTTGGCCTTGGCCTTGGCCTTGGCCTTGGCACGTGCCCTGACCCTGACCTCCTCCGCCGCTGCCATGGCCGCTGTCCCGGAGCCTTGTGCGTAGCTGCTACTCACAAAGCCGCTCAACGGCTGGCCGGGCGACGGGATTGAGGCGTAGGCTATTCCCGAGCCGAAGATCATGCCATTGTCACCGCCACCACCATTGCCCGGTGCCACCGGCGTCGTCACCATCGGTGCCGACTTAGAGAACGATGTGTCGCCCGAGTCTAACCGTGGCGTCCCGCCAACGCCACCCACCATCAAGCTTCCCGAGCTTCCCGAGTCCGACTCGGCGGCCGAGCTCGAGCCCGAGCCCGAGTCAGTCTCGGTGTGCGACGCCGAACTGATGCACTGTGTGCTGCTTTCGGCCTGGCTACTTGCTGGCACATTGTCGGACGGTGCTGGCCGCGACCGCGATCGCGACTGCGAGGCCGAGGTCTTGGAGTGCGAAGTTGCGCCTGACTGCGACGGCGTGTGCGAGCTACGGGAGCTCCGCGACCGCGTCACAGACGACGACCGCGATCTCCGCGAGCTTGTTATCGAGCTCGACGACGACGATGATGACGACGACGACGGCGATTGCGACTGCGAGCTGCCCGATCGCGACCGGCCATGGGCCGAGATGCGGAATTTCGGGCGAACGCCGAGGTTGTACGCCCGCGAGGACGAGGTCAGCCCAGACCGCGAGCGCTGTGAAGAGGTGTTCCGCGTCTGCGGGCCCGATGACATGGCCGAGCGGAACGAGCCAAACACGCCCGATCCTGCAAAAGAGACAGAGACGCCAGCGTCCGACGTCACGCCGTAGTCGGTCATGAGGTCAAACGGTGTCGACGAGTGCTGCAGCGCGTAGCGCGTGATGAGCTCGCGAACGTGGCTTTGAATATCGACAGACGTCTCGCCGGGCATGTCGCCGATGATGAGCATCTGCTGCTCGAGTGCGTTGATCGAGTCTTGCAGCGCGCGTGTCCGCGTGTCAGTCACCACAAACAAATCGCGCTTCAGCAAAATGGTGAGCGAGGAGTAGAGCGACTCGGCAGCCATTTGCAACTCGCCACGCTGCCGCTCGAGCCGCTGCACAAGCGACGCCCGCTTGAGCCGCACCGTCTGCTGGACATTCACATCAAACTCGGCTGGCGTTCCCTGCATCCGCCGTGTCTCGGCGTCAAACGCATCCAGTGACCGCTGCAGTTCGTCGATCTCCATCCGCTTGGCCTCAAAGCCCTCGACAAGCTGCAGCAGGTCCGAGAGAATCATCGAGCCCACTCGATGGCTCTGCCCCACCTGCTCTTCCAGTACACACTCTTCCTCTACCAGCGAGCCGAGCGAGTCGAGCAGCTCCACAAAGAACTCGTCGCGCCGCCCGAGCTTCTTCCCGCACTCGGCCACAAACTGCCGCGTCAACTGCTGTATCATCCTCTTCCGCGTCACCAGGTCGGTTACCGCTGCCATCAGCGACTCCTCCTCCTCGATCAGCGCCCGCAGCGCCTTGGACAGTTGCGTCTGAACTCACCACCAACAAGCATAAAGTGTGCTGTGAGTAGCAACCTGCATCTCCCTTTCTGCACTCCATACACTAACCAGTGGCCCATCCGATGAACCGAGCGAGTCAGCCAGCCAGCCAGTCAAGCAAGCAACAGCGACCAAGAGGCAACAGCGGCCAACCAGCCAAGTGGATCAACGGTGGCGGCTGATCAGCCAAGCCAGCCAGCCAGCCGATCCACCCAGAGCCCAACGCGATCAGCCTCTCCCTCTCCCTCTCTCTCTCTCTCCCCCCCCCCCCCCCCTTGCATTGTGCTGCGGGTGGGAATCGACTGAACCGATGGCTTCTCCACAACGCCCGCCCGGAAGCAATATGTCGCTGCTATCAACCATCGCGCGGTCATGATCATCATGATGCTGTTGGGTCACTCGTGTTGACACCAGGACCGGCAACCGCATGTGCGTCGCCTGGCAAGGTGCCGGAAAAGTTGGCAGTTTCCCCCCCCCCCCCTCTTCCCTCCGCCACGGCGGAATCAATGGTTTTCTCCTTGGTTTTATCGTTGGGAGACCGTAGTTGACCCGTCTTGATAGGCGACGTTTGGCAGGTTTTGATTGATGACGAGAGTCTCTGGTGCACATGCTCAGCGTTGGTGGATGTGGCTTGATTCATCATTGCAAGGCTTCGATGGCTGCCGCGACAACCTCGACCTGCCGCGAGCTGTCGAGCGAGACCACAGCACCGGCGCCGGCGCATCCAATCGCCGCAGCACGGAGGACGTCGTATCCGTCGTCGTATGCGACGGCCACGACCGAGCCCTGTCCCAGCGAGTACGACCGCGCTGCTCCGCTCAGCCCGCTCGCCCACACCTTGACGCTCCCATCGACTGAGCATGAGACGACGTTTGCGTCGTCGCTCGCACCGCTGTCCCAGCACACGCCCGACACTGCGCCGCCATGGCCACGCGCCGACGCCACTGCCGTCCCGCCGCTCCGCACGTCCCACACCGCCACCCGCCCATCGGCGTCGCCGGCTACGAGCACATTTCCCTCGGCGCACACCGCAGTCACCGCCAGGGCGCCATCATGGGCGTTGACTATGCTGCCGAGCGCGAGCCAGCTCTCGGCGTTCGCGCGCGGATCCCACAGTGCAATCTGCGCCCCGCCGCTCCCTCCCACGGCACACACCACCGAGCCGTCGGCGCTGCCGTCCGCCCACGTAGTCCGCAGGATGTACCCCGCCTCGAGTCGTGCACAACCTCCGGCCACCTCCAGCGTCCCGCTGGCCACATCCCAGACCTTGACCACGCCATCGCCGCCGCCTGTCGCCAGTACCTCGCCCCGCCACGCAGCGGCATGGACCCATCCGGTGTGGGCGGGCATGAGAGCGAGGAAGCGTGTGTCTTCGCCATCGTCGCCCTCTCCATGCCGCCAGACATGGACAACACCGTCCGAGCCCCCGCCCGCCACCAGATCGTCCGAGACAGCAACCGCCGTCATCCACCGCCCTGAGCCCTCGCTTGTGCTGAGGGCATGGATGAGGCGACCCGATCGGCCATCCACAAGCGCCACATGCCCCCACGCGATCCCAGCGCCATTCGCCCGCCGTTCCTGCTCGTCCCTGCAGACTCGATACCCCACGTTCCGCTCGAACTTGCGCACCATCGTCCAGCCACCGCCTCGGTCGTCGCCGCCACACGCCACGCCGCCTCCTCGTAGCCGACCCGGAGCTCGTCAGCCGCCACAAACTCGGCCACCGTCTTGCTCCTGACCATCTCGCTACTCGCTGCCTTGCTGCTGACCGTCTTGCTGCTGACCGTCTTGCTGCTCGCCGCCGTGCTGCTCGCCATCTGCCTCGCCCGCCACCCTGAGCGTGGTCGCTGCCGAGTGAGGTGACGGTGGCTGGCGTACGGGTGAGCTGCTGCCGTCGCAACAGCCAAGCAAGGTGGACTGATCTGAGGCAAGATGGGCAGATCGGTGGCGATGGCGGTAAGGGAGAGAGAGAAAGAGAGAGAGAGAGTGTGTGTGATGGGTGGTAGGCGTGTATGCATGTATGTATGTGTGTATGTGTGTGTGTGTTGTGTGGCGATCATGGAAGTTGGCTTGCAGGCAGCAAGTGAGCGAAACCGAGGCCAAAGCCTCGACGTAGGCGAGCGAATCCGAGCCGATGATGTGGACGGATCGAACAAGCTGGACGGATCGGGTACGATGGGCAGATGGGACATAGTGGCGGATTCATGGCTATCGTGTTGGCCGAGATGCGATGGACAACATGTGTACGCGATCGCATCATCTAGCCAGGGTACCAAGCGGGTGAGATGGCCCACACCTCGAGCGACAGTATCCTTACCTCACCTTGCCGATGTCCATTACATGTAGAACGTACAGTGGGTGGCGAGCGGACGATTGAGCTCGTACCTGATCATTTCGGTCGGTTGGGCCGGGCTCGACCAGCCTGTCCACGCCAACGATCGATCACGATCACGGAGGCGATCAGGGCACGCCACCCGACTCGCCACGAGGCCACCCATGGAGAAGCTAGTAGGGCAGAAAGACGCCCTCAAAGCAGCTGTCCGCCAAGCAAAAGTACCCCTCTACATGCTTTCCCATTCCGCTTCAACAATATCCCCTTCTACCTCCACCACTCACCCCTTCTTCCCACGCCCTCCCCTTCCCGCCCGCGTGACAGGAGTCTTCGGCAGACGACGCCGTTGTGGGAGGACTGCACGCAGCGTATGTGGCGGCACGTGAGGCTGTGGCTCGGGCACGAGATCTTGAAGGCGAAAAAAGTGCTGCCAAAGAAGTGGTGAGAGAGGCAAAGGCATCGGGCAATCCTGATTTGCCCAATTTCTATGCTCATTATGAAGCTCTACGTGCACAATTGACGGCTCTTGTGGACAAGGCCTCGGCAGCTGCTGCCGCTGCTCTCCAGCCTGCTGCGCCATCTTCTCCCTCTTCCTCTACTGCTACCGCTACGCCCGTACCCAACTCCAACCCGAACTCTTCTGATCGCTCGCCTCTGTCGCTTATGCCCTCGGACGCCTCCATCTACGCCCCGCTCGCTTCTCGCGACGCCCTCCTCGCCCGCAAGCTCGCTCTCAAGTCCACCATTCGCAGCCTCAAGGCTGATGGCGCTCCCGAGCCAGCCGTCCAGCGAGCCTTCGAAGAGTACATGACGGTCAAGTTGGCGATCGAGGCGCTCGAGGCTCAGCCTCTTTCTTCGGCGCCGTCTGCGGCCAGTGCACAAACAGCAGCCGCGGCAGCGGCATCTTCCACCGACTCACCGCCTGTCGACCACGTCGACGATGCCAACTCGTCGTCGTCCGACGATCCGCAGTCTGACGACCCGCAATCGGGCAACAACGCTGACGAGCTCGAGCCCGAACTCGATGACCTCGACGACCTGCTCCCGGCCTCGTCATCGTCACCCCCGCGCCCGCCGCCTCCGACATTAAGCGAGCTCTTTTGCTGCCATCGACCCTGCAGCGCTCACCGGCCCGTCAGCAGTGGCCTCGGCAGCGCCGGCAGCATCGACATCGCCTGTGCCGTCGCCGTCGTCGTCGCCGAGCCGCCGCAAGCGCAAGCCGCGGTCCCAGCGCGAGAAGATGCTCGGCACCATCTACGCGCTCGGCGCCGAGCTCGCGCCGTACCAGGGCCCGCTCCTCGTCCGCTCCAAGGCCCTCTTTGGCGGGCCCTCCCTTGCCGAGCGGCACTGTGTCGTCGGTGCAGACGCCTTTGTCATTTACCGCTCGGCAGACCATCGCAAGGTTGTCGCCTCCATCCCGCTCCGCGGCGCTCTCTTTGTACCCAAGACCCGCAAGACCGCCCTCGGCTTCAAGCTCTACTCGCGCGGCAAGTACCACCGCTTCTTGTTGCCCGAAGCCTCCGCCACCAACAACCGCCTCGCTACTTGGGGTGCCGCCATTGTCACCGCCATCGACGCCCACGCCGTCGACATTGCAGACTCGCTCACCCTCCCGCACCCGCCCGTCGCCGCCTCGGGCGTCGTCCACGCCGTTGGCTGGCTCAAGGTCCGGCAGCAGAAGCACTGGCTCTGGCGCTTTGCCGTTCTCACAGACGACTCGTTCTCCTTCACCGAGGAGGCCGTTCTGGACTCAAGCGCACTCGCCGTCGTCTCGGACATGCTGCTCGCCGGCCACGGCCGCCGCTCACGGCCGCCCACCCGCACTTTCCGCCTCTCCGAGTCGCAGCTCGTCGCCATCTCCGCCCCCAAGTTTGGCGAAAAGTACGTCTTTGCTCTCGCCTCGCCCCGCGGCCACTCGATGTACATTGCGTTTCCCACTTCAGCTCGCCGCTCCTTTTGGCGCCACCTCGTCGAGCCTGCCATCGTCGACGCCACCATCCGCCGCGTCGCACGCTCCGACCTCCGTATCCGCGCCGAGGTCCGCCCCGATGCTGCCGCCGACGCCGCCACTGAAGACTCGGACCAACCCGCGTCTTCTACATCATCGCCCCTCGCCACGTCGACCTGGCTCGACGGCTCCACCTCGATCTTTGCCACCCAGGGTCTCGCCATCGCCCTTGTCTTCTCGCCGCTCGGCATCCGTGTCCGCCCCGCCGACAAGCCTGCGGTCATCGACTCGTTGGCCGACCCCTCTGCTGGTGCCGGCACCGCGCCCGTCACCACCGCCACCGAGCTCCCGGCGCTTATTCCCTACGCCGCCCTCGGCGATGTGCTCCTCGGCTCTTCGCACGCCCCGCCTTCGGCCGACCCGCCGCCCGCGCCCGTCGCCATCTCTGTCCGCGACGCCACCACCGGCACCATGTGCGAGCTCTGGCTCAAGTCGCCTTCGGCCTGGCTTCTCGAGAACATCGTCCACAACATCCGCCTCTACTTTGCACGCCCCGCCCAAGTCACGCCCTAATCATGCCTCGTTTCCTGGTATGTCAGTGGCGGCAAATGCCGCATGTGCGACTTTTGCGCCGTCGCTACGAAAAACGCGCACCACACGCCGCAGCGACAGCCATCGCTCTTCTGCATTGCACAGACAGAACAACACAAACACACATCATGGCTACTGACGATGATGCAGAGCTTTATCCGCTCCTTCCGCTCCTTCCGCGCGCTCCGCTCCCGGCCGCGCCTAACTCGGTCGTCTACACCGGGTCGACCGGAAAGTGACTAAGCTTGTCGGCGGCACCGTGGCGTGGACGACCAAGCTCGGAGTGCGGTTTGCCTCGCCGCACGTGACGACAACCAAGCTCGGGCTGTATGCTGCCGCCCGGCGGCGGGTCTTTCACCTCGATGAAGACAGCGGCGCCGTGCTTTCCTCTGTCAAGATCTGCAGCGCGTCCAAGATCGCCAACGTCGCCGCCTGCCTCCACGTCGACGTGACAGAAGGTGTTGGATACTACACGTCCGGCAAGGCCGCGGCCAAGATCCGGCTTGATGGCGAGCTGGACGAGTTCGGCGCAGTGATGTGGGAGGTGGCGGTGAAAAAGGTGTCGGGCATGGCGTGCGTCTCGCTGCTCGACGCCACCCGCGGCGTGCTCTACCTCTCGGTCTCGGGCTCCATCTACGCGCTCTCGACGGCAACTGGCGCTGTCCTTGACGCCAACGTCTTCTCGATGCGCTGCTACGACGTTTTCACCCTTGCGATCGACGACCGCGGCAGCCTGATCGCCGGCGAGCGGAGCAACATGTTTATCACGCCGGTGAACGCCGCCGCAGACGCGGCCGTCCCGGCGCGCAAGATCTCGCTCTCGCGCGCGCACGCTGCTGTCGGACTCGCTGCCGCGCCGGACATGGGCCTGTGTTTTGCGGGACGTGGGGCCAGATCACAGCCCACTCGCTTGTTGCGCCGGATGAGGTTGTGTGGCACAACCCGCTCAAGGGCCTGCGGTACGGGACCGGAGTCTCGGTCGCTGTTGCCGCCAAGGCCGGCCTTGTCTTTGTTGGCATTGCCGGATCGGTGGCTGCCCTCGACGCGCACACCGGTGAGACTTTGTGGACGACCTCGGTCTCATCTGCCTGGCCGCTTGTTGTCCTCCACGTCGATGCCGCCGCAGAGGTGCTGTACGCCGGCGCGCTCGGCACAGTCGTCGGCCTCCGCTTTGCCGACGGCACGCGCGCTCTTGCACCCACGATGGTTGGCGGCTGCTGGGGCTATGTCACCCTCGCCACCGCCGGCAGCAGTACCTCGTACTCGCAGTCGCCCATGCCATCGGCATTCGTCAAGCATCATCGCCGCCGTCGGCGGCGTTGATCTCCATCCTCCGCACCCCGACCGCAACCAGCACAGCACCAAATCGAGTAAAGGCGAAAACGAGCGAACAATGACGACGACGACGAAAACGGGCGGACGATGATGAGGATGAGCCTCCAGCGAACGATGATGAGGATGAGCCTCCAGCGAACGATGGTGAGGATGAGCCTCCAGCGAACGATGATGAGGATGAGCCTCCAGCGAACGATGGTGAGGATGAGCCTCCAGCGAACGATGGTGAGGATGAGCCTCCAGCGAACGATGGTGAGGATGAGCCTCCAGCGAACGATGTTGAGAGGCTTCAACGAACAATGATGACATTGACATGAACAAAGTCAGTGAGTCAGTCACACGCAGCACAGGCGACCAGCCACGACCACCGCACGACCACGACCAGGGGGACGACGACGACCACCGCCACCACCACCACCACCAGTACCACCACCAATACCACCACTAGACCACCTGGCACCCGCCCCCTCCCCCTCCCCTCCTCGCTTCTCTTCCCCTTCCCCTAACGATGTTGAGAGGCTCAACGCGGGC